ATACTTGCTTAACTTCAGGTATACGCGCTCTCAGGCTTGGAATCAAGATGGATGTGTTGATCGCATACCATGGCATGGCTAGAGGGTCACCCTATGTTGTCCCTTCGTGGGATAAGATCGGGGCAAGGGGGGTACTTTAGGAATTTCTGGGTGGGGATGTGCCGCTGGGACCCTGGAATCCTTAACCTATACCAGAGCTAGTTGAGCTGAATTTTGCTACCTTATACTAGAGTAAACTTTCCAAATTCCCCCTATCCTAGAGTAGCTGTTTCCCTAGTCTAGATAAAATCTTCCACCAACTGATCAGTTTCCTGAAAAATGAACAAACGCTCTGATTTATATAGCCTATCCTAGAGTAAACTGCTTGAAAACCATACCCTTCACAGTGGCACATACCTATCAGTAGCACAAATGTGGGAGTGCCCCCCCCCCCCCGGGGGATAAGATCTCTACTCCTCCACAGGTGAACAATCTCGAGGGACTTCTGTACGTGTTGATGATGTACATGGAAATTTCCGGACAAGTTATTTGGATGTTGCTGGCGTCAACCAACAGGATTTCGTCTGTACGATCATCATCTAAAATCTGGGCCATGGCATGTATGGCGACCTCGGCACCCGCACTGTAGCCAATGCAATTTTGCAGGAGGCCAGCTGCCAGCATGATCTCCTCCTTTAAGGCCCTGTTTACAAGGGGGGAGGGTAACCATGGTGCTAGGGTTACCCTAGCAAGAGGGTTACCCTGGCACTCGCACCTTTCTTCTTTTTTACACGACGCGTTTACAAGGCAGGGAGGGTTACCCTGGCAAGCGGGTTACCCTACCTGCCTTGTAAACGCTCTGCTAGGGATAACTCACCTACCCTGGACAACTTTCCTCCGTTGACCCGAGTGATAGGGAACCCTGCCTGTGAACTGAGGTTAAAGATAGGGAGGGGCCGGGGCGAAGGGAAGAAGGCAGAAAACCCTGAGTTCAGCTTTCGTGTGGCTGCATATTTTTCTGTACGAACTACAAAAGACGCCAAAAAACAGCCCGCATTTTTAGTATGATAATGAAAAGGAGTAACAAAAAAATATTGTAGCTAGATTACAGAAGCTGAACACGTGAATACGCGAAGCGTGTTTTCATAAGTACATATTTTTTCTTGGCTATATTACTTTACCCTAAAATAAATGTTATATTTTATCGCATGGATTCCCTGTTTTCAAGAAAAAGTGTCCACTAGTTCCCCATAGTTATTACTTTAACTTGTAAACCAGAGCTAACCGTTACCACGCTTCCTAGGGTAACCCTCTCTTATTGTAAACAGGCCCTAAGAAGGTGGATATGGTCTCATTTGTCTGACTCCTATTGATCGAATTCCTGGGTTCTTATCCAGTGGAATGAGCCTGAAGGAAGTGTAGCTTTCCAACAGAGAAGGTTGCTAACATGATTTCAGCAGATTTCTGGTCAACGCGGCTATTTCTTTTAGGCTTATTTTTTTTTTTGATCCTCTCCTCTAGTTTAGACAACCCAAAATTTTTTAGAATGTATTTAAATTACTGGGAAGGCGCGCGAAATTCGCTGGTCAAAACAGTGTAGGCTCTTTCTTTTCTGTCACGTAATACTTGGTTGTAAATAATCTTGATTGAGAGTGACAAAGATCTTCGAGCCACTTGCATTTGAACAAAAAATGAAGATAGTGGGAGATACATTAGTTATAGATATAAGTAGAAAATTCTGAAAGGCTTTGGAAGGCAAAGAAGTGGATTCTAAACAAAGATTGTCTAGTCACGCAGCATGCAATGCATGACAGTTAGGCGTATATCGACAAATTAGATCGACGGTGGTAAGTGAAATTAACATTATTCTTTTTCTGAGGTTGTAGCCTAAACTTAATGAACTTTTTAAGGGCGTAATTTCTTTATCGCTAGAAGGAAGAATTTCCCATCATTGAATGTTGTTTTTAGATGTGCGAGTTGACCTTGCTTTATGACTGGCATATACTGGCGTGATTCAAAGCTTGTCAACAACCACGCGCCATGTGGCCTTGAAAATTCTGCCCAGGAAATTAAAAGCAGCTTGGTTTTGTCACAGTAAAGACCATAAACACTTGAATGAAGGACTTCTGTATAGTTAACTCTTGAGAAGAACAATCTTTGATTTTGCGAGAAAGTCAAAACGAGGTCACAAACATTACGATTTTGCCTTCGATATTTTGGTGACGTGCATTACTAATCAGTGTGAAATCTTTAAATTTCTCGCAAAATCTGGAAGGTTTAAGCATTCATTAAACTCCTCGATTATTATTCTTGTATAACGGGCTGGAAAGTGTCGGTTTAGTAACTTCAGCGGCCCTTAATTGCTGAATTATAGAACAGGTGAAGTGGAAATAAGCTTGTTTTAGGTGCAGTTTTCAATTGGCATCTGACGCCCAAAAAAGGCAGAGCCCAGAAATGTTTTTTTATGTTTATTATAGACCAAAATTATTGTCATAGCTTTCTGGCAAGGAGAGATATTTGATCTCAAAATCAGCAAATATTTGAATGGCTGAAAAGGTGGTCCCATATTCAAGACCGGTGATTGACAAGCTGTCAATCAAATTGACTGAAACTTACATCCTTACATTCGTCAACGATGCATCAACATATATACAAACCCTCATAGTCAAAGGTTAAAAACAGTTTTCCTGAGAGCTTCCTACTTTTGCCTGTTATTAATGCACTTTTATTGGTAAAAAATCTAATTAAACCAGTTGGGTGGGCTATCTCCCACCATAAAGATCCAAACTATGAACCAGTTTGTCATTTTGAGTTTTTGGAGTAGACCCTTTAAACTGGCCAAGTTTCATCGAAATCGGAGAGATAGCATGTAGCACACCTGCCTGGTGCACCCATGGACTCACTCTTAAGGCATGGCTCAATTTTTGTTTTCGACCCCCCGCGAAGATAAACTTGTTTTTCTTCTACGGCCACGCATTTTAGGCCCAGTTCAAACGTCGAATTTCACATGTGCCGAATTTAATTGCTATTTTAGTCGACTAAAATAGTTAAATACGGCATTTGATTCAAACGTCGAATTTAATTCACTGAACTTTGTCGAATTTAACTCTCTTCGCTGTCAATACTCCCAGTAATATAATAATAATTCACTAAAATTCATTCATTAAGTTCGGCACATGTGAAATGCGACGTTTGAATCAAAAGTCGAACCTAAGTCGAATCTTCGACTGTTTCAGTCGCAGATGCGGCAAACGTTGCATTTAATTTAAACAGTCGAATTTAATTAATTCAAACGTCGCACTTCACATGCATTTAACTCTCGCGTTAAGTTCGGCACATGTGAAATTCGACGTTTGAACCGGGCCTTAATTCTAAAAGTTGCAAAACTCTTTCGAGAAACTTTCTTTCGAGGTGTTGAATTAGTTAGGGTTAAAGTGATGTAGTCACGTTAAACGTGACGTCATAATGATATTCAAAAACAATTTCAAAATGGGGTAGGAATGGTTGATTACAACTAAGTTTAAACCATGTGTAAATGATTATTTTACCGTACGAATTTTTTCTGTGGCCGGAACGGAGAGGATTTTTAATTTCTTTAAAAGATATTAACAAGTGAAAAGTGTCATGTGACCTATTTTGCTTAATTATTAATGAATTAAAAACGTGAGTCAACCATTCCGGCCAAATTCAAGCGAGAAATGATGATACAATAACGTAAATACTGTATTTAATACATACTGTGTGGCATTTCGCCACCCCATTTTTAGTTTTCTTTTCTTTCCTGGACTCGACAATGAGTGGTCACGTGACACAGATATCTACCGGTTTTATCCGAGGTTGCCAAATTTTGTAAGGTTCTGATAAACTTTCACAAAGTTATGACCATTATAAGATTTTATGCAAATTAGCTTCAGGCCATGCGTTAATATGCTTGAGTCTGTCCGAGGACCCTCAAGCGACGATGAAATGTGATCTTCGTGCAAGATATAATAAGGCAAGTGCTTAGCTCCTCGTGCGTTCAAAATAATTTGTGGACTTCCCACGTTCGAGTTTATAACCTCCTCTTTTCAAACTAAATTATCTATAGAAAGTTCCCTCTTTCTTAAACTTAATTGTAATATATTCCTATACATAATTATTTGCGTTCTACTGATAGGTTTTCTTTATAGTCTTAAATCATTATGTATGTATTTTTATTTTATTCGCGCATTATTGTAAAAACTAATATAATGTACATTTGGTATTTGTAGCTATACATGAGCAGGAGATCTCAGCAAGCTCTGCTGAGCCTTTCAGAGGAGATTCCCAACTTTACCTATCAATTAAATTACTAACATATTGTTTGCCACTTAATATTACAATATAAACTCTATCGAATTTTTAATGAGATGATGCAAGCTTATCAATGTTAGGAATTTTCACGTACTGTCACATGCCTTTCAACCTTTTAGACGTTCTTTTAATTCTTCCAATATAGTTGTTCCTAACTTAAAATTCTACAAGAGAAACCACCTTTTTCAAAAATGCAAAGAAACCTAAGAACTAAAAGATTTCTTGTAAATACAAGACTGCATGCAGATACACGTTTTATAGACTTAGATTTCAACAAACAGAACTCATGATCATTTACTTCAACAAGTTAACTGCTTTTAAATGTAAGTGGTTTTATTCTGACGATCCGGGTAACCGAAATCTTTCGTAATTTTGTATTCCTGGGTAAGTCCATTTAACCGAAACAGAATGTTTCGTGGAATCACAGCTACGATAGCATCAGCTTAATTTACAATTTTAAATCACACCTGACAAGACAACAGAGTCGTTACGAATAAGAAAAAGCTTTACATTTTGAAGAAAACCTTATTGTTTTCGTAGCTATTTCTAAAGCCAAAAGCTTATTATTATTAACGTTTCTAACTGGCTTCCTTATTTTTTTATTTAAGATTAACTCTATTTCCGTAGAACTATTTGCTAATTATTCTGGTCTTGTTTTTTTACCTGTTTATGTTTTAGAAAAGACCCAAATGGGCACTGTTCAAGAAGCTATTCACCATGGCATGATTGCCGCCGATTTTCTTTGGACCACTAAACGAGTTGTCCAGGCTATCGAGCTGTGGAACGAGTGCTTAACACTACTAAACAAAAAAATCTTAGAAAACGAACATCAACTTGCCACAATAGTGCGTATAGTGCTGAACAAGAGGCTGTTTTATGGAAATGCTGCTATTACGAAACTTTCACCAGCTATAGAATCTGGCAAAAAGCTTTTAGTCCTACTTCGTAATCTTAGGAGAAAAAAAGAAGAAGGTAACACAGCCTTGATGTTATCAAAACTGTACTTCCAAAAAACTGAATACCAGGAAGCACAAGCAGTCCTCAAAATTGCACTCTGCGTTTACAAAGAAATCGAAGACAAAGACGGAGAAGCAACATGCTACGTAAACCTAGGAGCTGTGTTTCAATCTGTCGGAGAATATGCCAAGGCTGAAGAATATCTTCATAAAGCACTTACCATCAACACAGAAATTGGCGACAGAAACGGAGAAGCGACATGCTACGGAAACCTAGGAGCTGTGTTTGAATCTGTCGGAGAATATGCCAAGGCTGAAGAATATCTTCATAAAGCACTTACCATCAACACAGAAATTGGCGACAGAAACGGAGAAGCGACATGCTACGCAAACCTAGGAAAGGTGTTTGAATCTGTCGGAGAATATGCCAAGGCTGAAGAATATCTTCATAAAGCACTTACCATCAACACAGAAATTGGCGACAGAAACGGAGAAGCGACATGCTACGTAAACCTAGGAACTGTGTTTCAATCTGTCGGAGAATATGCCAAGGCTGAAGAATATCTTCATAAAGCACTTACCATCAACACAGCAATTGGCGACAGAAACGGAGAAGCGGCATGCTACGTAAACCTAGGAGCTGTGTTTAACTCTGTCGGAGAATATGCCAAGGCTGAAGAATATCTTCATAAAGCACTTACCATCAAGACAGAAATTGGCGACAGAAACGGAGAAGCGACATGCTACGCAAACCTAGGAAATGTGTTTCAATCTGTCGGAGAATATGCCAAGGCTGAAGAATATCTTCATAAAGCACTTACCATCAAGACAGAAATTGGCGACAGAAACGGAGAAGCGGCATGCTACGGAAACCTAGGAAAGGTGTTTCAATCTGTCGGAGAATATGCCAAGGCTAAAGAATATCTTCATAAAGCACTTACCATCAACACAGAAATTGGCGACAGAAAGGGAGAAGCGACATGCTACGGAATTCTAGGAGCTGTGTTTGAATCTGTCGGAGAATATGCCAAGGCTGAAGAATATCTTCATAAAGCACTTACCATCAAGACAGAAATTGGCGACAGAAACGGAGAAGCGACATGCTACGCAAACCTAGGAAATGTGTTTCAATCTGTCGGAGAATATGCCAAGGCTGAAGAATATCTTCATAAAGCACTTACCATCAACACAGAAATTGGCGACAGAAATGGAGAAGCGACATGCTATGGAAACCTAGGAAATGTGTTTCAATCTGTCGGAGAATATGGCAAGGCTGAAGAATATCTTCATAAAGCACTTACCATCAACACAGAAATTGGCGACAGAAGGGGAGAAGCGACATGCTACGGAAACCTAGGAAATGTGTTTCAATCTGTCGGAGAATATGCCAAGGCTGAAGAATATCTTCATAAAGCACTTACCATCCAGACAGAAATTGGCGACAGAAAGGGAGAAGCGACATGCTACGGAAACCTAGGAAATGTGTTTGAATCTGTCGGAGAATATGGCAAGGCTGAAGAATATCTTCATAAAGCACTTACCATCAAGACAGAAATTGGCGACAGAAAGGGAGAAGCGACATGCTACGGAATCCTAGGAAATGTGTTTCAATCTGTCGGAGAATATGGCAAGGCTGAAGAATATCTTCATAAAGCTCTTACCATCAGCACAGAAATTGGCGACAGAAAGGGAGAAGCGACAAGCTACGGAATCCTATCAAATGTGTTTGAATCTGTCGGAGAATATGCCAAGGCTGAAGAATATCTTCATAAAGCACTTACCATCAACACAGAAATTGGCGACAGAAAGGGACAAGCGACATGCTACGGAAACCTAGGAAATGTGTTTCAATCTGTCGGAGAATATGCCAAGGCTGAAGAATATCTTCATAAAGCACTTACCATCAACGCAGAAATTGGCGACAGAAACGGAGAAGCGACATGCTACGGAAACCTAGGAAATGTGTTTAAATCTGTCGGAGAATATGCCAAGGCTGAAGAATATCTTCATAAAGCACTTACCATCGAGACAGAAATTGGCGACAGAAACGGAGAAGCGACATGCTACGGAAACCTAGGAAATGTGTTTCAATCTGTCGGAGAATATGCCAAGGCTGAAGAATATCTTCACAAAGCACTTACCATCAAGACAGAAATTGGCGACAGAAACGGAGAAGCGACATCCTACGGAAACCTAGGAAATGTGTTTCAATCTGTCGGAGAATATGGCAAGGCTGAAGAATATCTTCATAAAGCACTTACCATCAACACAGAAATTGGCGACAGAAACGGAGAAGCGACATGCTACGGAAACCTAGGAAATGTGTTTCAATCTGTCGGAGAATATGCCAAGGCTGAAGAATATCTTCATAAAGCACTTACCATCAAGACAGAAATTGGCGACAGAAAGGGACAAGCCACATCCTACGGAATCCTAGGAAATGTGTTTAAATCTGTCGGAGAATATGCCAAGGCTGAAGAATATCTTCATAAAGCACTTACCATCGAGACAGAAATTGGCGACAGAAACGGAGAAGCGACATGCTACGGAAACCTAGGAAATGTGTTTCAATCTGTCGGAGAATATGCCAAGGCTGAAGAATATCTTCATAAAGCACTTACCATCAAGACAGAAATTGGCGACAGAAAGGGACAAGCCACATCCTACGGAATCCTAGGAAATGTGTTTAAATCTGTCGGAGAATATGCCAAGGCTGAAGAATATCTTCATAAAGCACTTACCATCGAGACAGAAATTGGCGACAGAAACGGAGAAGCGACATGCTACGGAAACCTAGGAAATGTGTTTCAATCTGTCGGAGAATATGGCAAGGCTGAAGAATATCTTCATAAAGCACTTACCATCAACACAGAAATTGGCGACAGAAACGGAGAAGCGACATCCTACGGAAACCTAGGAAATGTGTTTCAATCTGTCGGAGAATATGGCAAGGCTGAAGACTATCTTCATAAAGCACTTACCATCAACACAGAAATTGGCGACAGAAACGGAGAAGCGACATGCTACGGAAACCTAGGAAAGGTGTTTGAATCTGTCGGAGAATATGGCAAGGCTAAAGAATATCTTCATAAAGCACTTACCATCGAGACAGAAATTGGCGACAGAAACGGAGAAGCGACATCCTACGGAAACCTAGGAAATGTGTTTCAATCTGTCGGAGAATATGGCAAGGCTGAAGACTATCTTCATAAAGCACTTACCATCAACACAGAAATTGGCGACAGAAACGGAGAAGCGGCATGCTACGGAAACCTAGGAAAGGTGTTCCAATCTGTCGGAGAATATGCCAAGGCTGCAGAATATCTTCATAAAGCACTTACCATCAACACAGAAATTGGCGACAGAAACGGAGAAGCGACATGCTACGGAAACCTAGGAGCTCTGTTTGTACTTGTAGGAGAATATGGCAAGGCTGAAGAAAATCTTCATACAGCACTTACCACCAACACAGAAATTGGCGACAAAGACGGAGAAGCGTCGTGCTACCTAAAGCAAGGAAACACTTCTCAAGCCTTATCGAATCTCTGGTCAAGCATTCAAATTTACGAAAAAATGCTTACTTCTCTAGGAAGCAAAGATAGCCACAATATATCATTTTTTGACAAGAAGGCGTCTCCCTATCGGCTGTTTTGTTCCTTGAGTTGTTTTTGTGGGAAACCCTATGAAGCTTTACACGCTGCTGAACTTGGACGGGCCAGAGCTCTAGCAGAACTTATGTCAAATCGCTACTCCATTGCAAAAGAAATATCCATCAACCCACAATCGTTTGTTGGCATCGCGGAAGTAATTAAGAAAAATGGCAACAGCACCTGCCTCTACATCTCCTATGACCACGATGACAATATATTTTTGTGGGTTTTGAAACAAAACAAACCGGTAGCTTTCCGAAGAACGAAACTTTGTGAAAGTTATGTTAGCAAGCATGGCAAAATCTCTGTGTATGACCTGTTTGGAAACGAAAGCTTATTAAGAAAATTTCACGTTTTACCTCAAGAGCAATGCGAAGACCGATCACTCTTCTCTTCATTCGCCAACCAACTTACAAACGAATCAAATCTGGAAGATAGTCTCTCAACCTTGCGTCCTCTTTTAGATGAGGGAGAAGTATACACGGACCCTGAACCGCCAACACTTTTTCAGGTTTACAACATGTTGATTACTCCCGTGAGTGACTTGCTAGAAGGATCTGAAATCATTGTTGTTCCTGATCGCTGCTTCTTCCAAGTTCCGTTTGCAGCATTACACGATGAAAGTAGCTGTTATTTATCAGATTCTTTCAGGATACGAATTGTCCCTTCTTTGACGACTCTCAAGCTCATTCTGGACAGTCCAGCCGACTCTCACAGCGAAACTGGTGCATTGATTGTGGGTGAGCCAAGAGTGACGGATGTGTATTTCAATGGAGTGTTAAGGTATCTCTGTCCATTGCCTGGCGCGAAAGGGGAAGCAGAGATGATTGCGAGACTACTACCTGAATCTCACCTTTTAATAGGAGAGCAAGCAACAAAGCAGGCGGTTCTTCAGAGAATACCCTCAGTGAGCCTCGTACATTTCGCTGCTCATGGTGATGCCGAGAGAGGAGAAATTGCTCTTACCCCCGCTGACTCCACAGTGGAGTTTCCACACGAAGCAGACTACTTACTGTCAATGACCGACATTTCACAAGTTAGACTGTCAGCCAAACTGGTGGTCCTTAGTTGTTGCCATACCGCACGTGGACAGATCAAAACAGAAGGCGTTGTTGGAATCGCTCGAGCATTCTTGGGATCGGGTGCACGCTCAGTGTTGGTGGCATTGTGGGCCTTACAAGACAGAGCAACAGAGGAGTTCATGGGAAGATTGTACGAAAACCTTGTCCAAGGGAAAAGTGCAAGCGAAAGTCTTCACCGGGCCATGAAGTGGATGCGAAATAACGGTTTCTCAGAAGTGAGGCAGTGGGCACCTTTCATGCTGATTGGGGATGACGTGTCATTTCACTTTGGTGAAGAAAAGTGAAGGTAATTGTTTTCTGACAATTAGAGCCATAGGAAGTCTGTCAGGTCTTTTTGTATTACAGTTTTATCAACTTGGGTGCATTGGGTACTTTTAAGTACCAAATAGAAAGCAGTATTTACCCTTAAAAGCCACATTATTGACTACATCTGAAGTTAGCTTTTACTATGACTGCGGTAAAATATCAATTAACCGCTTTTTAACATTCGACCACACCTCTGTACTTATCAGTCAACCCGTGCATAAGTGGGACTTTGCATTTGAAAAAAAAAAAAAACACTAAGCCCCGAATCGCTACAACAACACAGAATGATTTAATTCTTTTCTCTCTTTTCTGATATATGAGGCACAAATAATTCAATATTCTTTTATTTGCTACGGTTCAATATGATCGTGAGGGTTTGCTGACAAACTTTTTTCTTTCTGAATATAATAGGAAGAGAATTCCAGTTATGAATCCGAACCAAACAGCCCAGGGAAGGTTTTTGTTTGATATAAAGATAATCGGATCAAAAATATTATGGCGGAGATCTAGATCTCAGAATTGATCGAAAACACTGCAGAGTACAAATTATGGACTGTGTGTGGAGTCTTGACCGTAACTAGAGGGCTTTTCGCTGACACTGACTGAATTACAGAAGTACCCTGGTTCTAAACTTGGACCAAAGAGGGAAGACCGAGATTCCATAGGTCATCAAGGCAAGAAGTTTCAAACCTATTTTAGCTGTGCACCCTACATTTCATTTGTGATGGCAATCGATTGGAAAGTTTTAGCGGTGAGATAAACTCAAATAAGTAAACCTCTTCCGCCACGATAAAGCCGGAGGATCCCTCTTCCATGTAAAATGAACCTAAATGCCACTTAGCCCAGCTGGAGTCTTTTGTGTTGAGTAGATGTGTTTTATTAATTTTTATGTTTCTTATACATTACTGTTGCAGGTATTACACTAACGACACACCATGGAATAACGAAACAGCCCTTCCGCAGAATTCCAATGAGGTAGTCCCTGGCGGATAATGTAAAGGATCAATCTCTGCAGCATACGAACATTGATTAAAAGAATTACTGTGAAAGAGAACTGACTTGCTTGGCCCAGCGGTTTATCTTTGCCGGCTTAATTATTTTTCCCACTAATCTTATTTTGTGTGTGTGTAGGTACCTTGAGTACTCTAATCTCTAAAATGTCTTGAAAAGCTCAAATCACCAGCTTTGTACATGTAGAAGTGTAGATCGGTAGCTCGGACAATGATAAAACCGTAATTGTGACACGAATAACGTTAGGATTAGCTAATTTCCCTGTCTTTTTAGGTAATTTGCAAAAAAAACCTACTTCCTTAATTAGTCCCTAAGGCTACAAATAAAAAATACTTGTTAAGTAAACGAGCTTTTTTTTTTTATCGCAAATTGAAGTTTGATTACAATGCAAACAACATTGCAAGGTTTATAGTTTAGTAGAATTGTATATATTTTAGAGCCAATCGTTTTGTGAACATAGAGGCAGTAGTTTTGCAACCTTGCATCATGAAATAAGGTTTGACGACTCAATTAAGTCAAATAAAAACCTAGCGAAACCAATTTGTCCTAACTCCAAAACTAGCCCAGTTGTAAAGTAAAGGTTATTTGATTGTATAATGTTCATGCCTGAGCATAGGTTAGCATGTTAGTATAGAAGAGTAGCATTTGGTTTAAGTATCCACCTAAAATGCAAAGATTTGGTGGTCAAGTTTTCAGTAGTACTTTGAGTAGGAAAACTAATTTTAGTAGTTCGAACAGCATGTCGCGTATCCGAGAAGGTCGCACATGGAGGTTTGATTGTAATCTGTAAATAATCTCACCAAGTTTCTTAAAATAAAGCGTATTGACGTAGCAGATTCCTGTTTATCCTTAATTATCTATTTGCTTTTTAACAAAAAATATTTCCTACAATATCGGAGAGATCTAGAATCCATTCAGGTCAAACGGCAACGTCAATTTTTACGTGACCAAGGTATCAGTCTTAAAAAATAAATAACTAAAATTGTAAACTGTGATTTGTTTTCCCGCTTAAACGAGTCCGTGCGTTGCGGATCGAATTGGCATTTGGAAAAGTTGGCTTTTGGAGAGAGGGGAAAACTGGAGCACCCAGAGAAAAACCTATTGGCAAAGAAGAGAACCAACAACAAACCTGTCCTTTTATATACCTGAAGCAAGAAAAAGGTACCCCTTTCGGTCGGAGCCTCCCCACAAAGGCGGGGGAAGGGTCAGAAGCCGATTCAGTTGTTGTATCTGCACAAAAAAGTTAGTATTTTCTTGTCGATCAGTCTAATCCATGACAATTATTTTGCAAAGTTTATACCTATTCATTTCCTAATTCAAGAAATCGAAAATGTCACCTTGGGTCTAATGTTTGCCGTTTGCCGTAGACGCGACTCTAAATCTCTCGATTTTCCTTTCAACGACTAGAATCCATAAATTTGGTCTCATAAAAGTTACTGCCACGATCACTCCCGTCGATTTGGAATCGTAGAATTACGTTGACGACAAAGTCGGAACATCAGGTTCAAGTATTACAATTACTCAAGTTAGGAAATCAACAGATAAAAACTGAGAAAATTAAATTATCCTTACGGATAAACCTGGCATGAATGTCTTTATTTTGGGGTAGTAAAGATAAACATTAAATGACAAATAAAGAGAAAGCTTAGCAACATGTTTCAAAATGGCGTTAATCGTAAACGCGATTCAAAATCTCTAGACGCCTGCGTTCGCATCGAAGTTCTCCAACGAACCAATGGGGCAGGAATGGTAACAATTCTTTTCAGTCCGTTTTACCATCCCTGGTTTACTTCCAAACATCTCTAACTGATCCTTTTTTTTAACTACCGTTTGACCAAAACGAAAAACATTTCACTAATAAAGCACTATTTGTTGTAGCTTTGAAAAAAATAACTCATGGTTTGTTTACTATTTTTTCAGACTTTATCTCCATTTTCGAGACTTTTTTCAGGTCTGGAAAATTTCTGAAAATTGATGCTCTGTACGATCCCTGAGCTTGTACAAGGTATTTCACTCCATAACTTGCACATGTACACCACCGTACAGAGAGCTACTTCAGGTCCAATCGGGGATGGATCTTGATTTTCGTCACTATCCAGATCTTGGTAGTACTTCTGATTGGTGAAGGCAAATTTTTAACCAATCAGAATTACTACCCAGATCTGGGTGGTGACACGTCATCAATATGGAAATTCTGCTCTCGTTTCTCAGACGTCACTTCGCGGGGAAACCAGTGGTGGCGTCGCGAAATGTTGGTTGTTTTCTCAGGCTAAGCTGGGTCAGTTACGAGTGGAAATGCCACGACATTTGATGCGCGTATCATGGCAGAAAGGCTCTACGTACACGTGACAGAAATTAATGTGCAACGATGCTAAAGTAAGGTGATGGCTAATCCTAACACTGTACTGATGAGACCTATTTGTATTGGGAGCCAAGTAGTTGAGACTGTGAAGACATACAAACTACTCAGAGTAACTATTAAGGAAGATCTTAAATGGAACTCACATGTAGACTGTTTCATTGCTAAAGCCGCAAAACATCTGATAGGATAGAATGTATTCAAAAGAGAGCACTCAGAATTATATATCCTGAATGCACAGCCTATAATCAAGCCCTTTTAGAGGCAAAAGTCTCATCTCTAGCAAAAAGAAGGGTTTCCCTGTGTCTGTGATGTGGCTAGCAATCACAATAATCATTCCTCATTCCCAAATCTGAAAGAAGATCTGTCCGTTATAATTTAAGATCTGGTAGTGAAAGAACAATAAACAAATTAAGAAGAACTAAGAGAGCCGACGAATTTTTTACATCATGATTACAAGTACAACTGTATACTCCTAACGTAGTTACGTTGTATTTTTGGATTGTATATGTTGTGGTTCAATTTTATCCTTGGTTTAAATTTTCTTTCCCTTTGTTTTTAACTCATTATCATACATTCCCATACCTCAAAAACAAAGGGAAATAAAATTTAAATCAAGAATAAAATTGAACCACAACATATACATATCACTTGTTCATTCAGTATTTTTTAACTGCAAGAACTTGAAATAAACTATATTTATTATTTATTATTATTGGCCTCAACAGTGTGCATAAACCTTTAGCCAGGCCGGAATGAGGGAAGAAAAAGCCTCCTTTGAATTAAGCTTCTTTTTAGCGTTAGCTTTTTGCCAGGGTACTTACCCAGAAAACTATAGGCTGAACATTGGCTTACAGGAGCTATGGCACGAAATGTATTATAATTCAAAAAGAGAGAGCTGCCAGCAAAGTGAGTAAAACATAAAATAAAGCATCAAAACACTAACATAAGGTATGAAAACACAGCAAATACAAAAGGACGCATGAATGGACAAACATGAAGAAGATTGAAACGGATTATAATTGTTTGTTTTAAAAAAAGGTTTTTCAAAGTTCGTTTTTGTTGTTTGCAACGTTTGATATAAATAATGCTTTTGGGGAGATATCTCATTGTTTGATACGAAGCTGTGAACTTGTCATTTTCAGGAAAATCCTGGCTATAACATCAAGTAGGGGAGGGGGGGTAGGCAAAAGATTTTTTAAGGGGCTTAAAATTTTTGAAGGGAAAAGGGGAGATAGTAAAAATTTCTGAAGGCAGGAGAAAGGGATGCTAATTTTTTTAGATGCCATTGAAAGATTAAGTATTTGTAACATTTATTGAAAACCAGTACACATGTGAAGTTCCTTACTTTTTATTAGTTCAATGAATCGAAATGAAGCTCGGATGTTTTTATTATTAATGCACTAAACTGTATGATGTCCTTTACTTTGTGCAGTAACCAGCTCTATCTACATAATCATTATCTCCTTTACGTTTATCCTGCTTTTATGACGTCAGCGATTGTTTTCACTGTCATGAATATTATTGTCATCATCATCACCATCATTAGTGGTGACGAGTGAAATTAGGGAATAATTTCACGCGCGTTTTGTCCAAATCGTAATAATTTCCCGAGCATTTAAGCTCCCTAATTTCACGAGTATACCATTTGATTACCTATTAATATCATGGGTGAAGAATTACGTTTAACTTAGCAATCGTGAACTTTTGACAAGTTTATCCTGGATCGTATCGATCGAGAACTCCACTCAGTCAAATGTTTAGACCTTAAATTAGGCTTAAGTTTAGAATTTTCAAAATTTTTTGGCAAAATATCTGTTAGAATCCTTCTTGATGTGCTCTTTCGTGTGTTCAAGTTTTCTAAAGAGTCTTTTTGTGCCATGACATCTTTATTAACGGCATTTTTATGGAACTTCGTCGCCATCTTGACACTGAGACGTACCGAGGAAGGTTGCCATGGCAAAATTACAAATTAACTCAGTTCTACTACGACATGAGAAATTTCTGCAATCTGATTGGCTTAGAGCAGTGGTATTTCAGCTTAATTTGAAATACCTAAATGTGAAAATTCCTGTAAAACCTTTTGCGGGTAGTAGTATAAGCAAATAATACCATGATTCGTACGTGATATTTCAGGGTCGTAACATGGTATATGGGCTCAGGGCTCAAAGCCCAAAATATGACTGGGATCAGGGCTCAGAGGAAAGGGCTCAGGGCTCAGAATAACGGAATCAGGGATCAGAAAGCTTTTGAGCCTGAATCAGGGATCAGATTTATTACACGGTCTAAAAATCTCTTATCACAATATTTTTCCGCATAATAAGGTTTGTGTCCATAGAATTTCCTGTCCGAGGTAAATTACCCATTCTTGCTTCCGGCTGGCGGCTGTTCCTGTCATACGAAGTCCTGTTATTTGACGAAAACACGGTATCATATTCTTAATTTATTAATTGTTTGAGGGCACCGTAATATGAATCTCAAGTCACTTTTCTCGCTTTGTAACGCAACTCCTCAGTGCGCTGTCAACGCCAGAATGCAGAGAAAGCGATCTATACATATCCTTTTTTTTGCGAGAAATGGGGAAAAAGAAAAAGGACAAAAGGAAATCCTGTGACAGAGAAAGGTACGTAATTACTTCCTTGACTGATTTACTCCTGGTTCTCCTCCTAGGTTCCGATTGCCTAATGGCCTCAAGCCCCGGGCCTCAAGCAAGTCCCAAGGCGACTTTAAATCGAGGTTGGTATTTTTGGATCAGTAACTTAACCCTTAAAAGTACTTAGATAATTAGAATGGACGTCAAGAGTAGAATACAAAAGTACAATGAATTCGCGCGCTTTGTTGCAAAATAAATGCTTTCTCGCAATTTAACAAATCTGCTCTAATTGCACGGAGCTTTAGAGTTATCTCGAACTC